CTGGGTCAACTGGAGACTTAATGAGGTCAACTGGAGACCCAATGGGGTCAACTGGGTCAACTGGAGACCTAATGGGGTCAACTGGAGACCCAAAGGGGTCAACTGGAGACCCAACGGGGTCAACTGGGTCAACTGGAGACCTTATGGGGTCAACTGGAGACCCAATGAGGTCAACTGGAGACCCAATGGGGTCAGCTGGGTCAACTGGAGACCCAACTGGATCAACTGGAGACCCAACGGGGTCAACTGGGTCAACTGGAGACCCAACAGGGTCAACTGGAGACCTATTGAGGTCAACTGGAGACCCAATGGGGTCAATGGGGTCAACTGGAGACCCAATGGGGTCAACTGAAGACCCAACAGGGTCAACTGGAGACCTAATGAGGTCAACTGGAGACCCAATGGGGTCAACTGGGTCAACTGGAGACCCAATGGGGTCAACTGGGTCAAGTGGGACCAGAAGACCTCCGAGGCCTCCAGGAGGCCCCCGGGGGGGGGCGTCACCTTCTCGATGAGGTCGATGCAGGCCTGGAGGTCCATGCCGAAGTCGATGAACTCCCACTCGATGCCCTCCTTCTTGTACTCCTCCTGCTCCAGCACGAACATGTGGTGGTTGAAGAACTGCTGGAGCTTCTCGTTGGTGAAGTTGATGCAGAGCTGCTCGAAGCTGTTGAACTGGGGTGGGGTGGGGAGAAGAAATGGACAATGAGGGTCAACTGGGTCTACTGGAGAGCCAGTGGGGTCAACTGGAGACCTAATGGGGTCAATGGGGTCAACTGGAGGCCCAATGGGGTCAACTGGAGACCTAAGAAGGTCAATGGGGTCAACTGGAGGCCCAATGGGGTCAACCTGAGACCCAACGGGGTCACCTGGAGACCCAATGGGGTCAACTGGAGACCTAATGGGGTCAACAGGAGACCCAACAAGGTCAATGGGGTCAACTGGAGACCTAATGGGGTCAACCTAATGTGGTGGTTGAAGAACTGCTGGAGCTTCTCGTTGGTGAAGTTGATGCAGAGCTGCTCGAAGCTGTTGAACTGGGGTGGGGTGGGGAGAAGAAATGGACAATGAGGGTCAACTGGGTCTACTGGAGAGCCAGTGGGGTCAACTGGAGACCTAAGAGGGTCAATGAGGTCAACTGGAGACCCAATGAGGTCAACTGGAGATCTAAAAGTGTCAATGGGGTCAACTGGAGACCCAATGGGGTCAACTGGAGACCTAAGAAGGTCAATGGGGTCAACTGGAGACCCAATGGGGTCAACTGGAGGTCTAAGAGGGTCAATGGGGTCAACTGGAGACCCAATGGGGTCAACTGAAGACCTAAGAGGGTCAACTGGAGACCTAATGGGGTCAATGGGGTCAACTGGAGGCCCAATGGGGTCAACTGGAGACCTAATGGGGTCAACTGGAGGTCTAAGAGGGTCAATGGGGTCAACTGGAGACCTAATGGTGTCAACTGGAGACCTAATGGGGTCAACCTAATGTGGTGGTTGAAGAACTGCTGGAGCTTCTCATTGGTGAAGTTGATGCAGAGCTGCTCGAAGCTGTTGAACTGGGGTGGGGTGGGGAGAAGAAAGGGACGATGAGGGTCAACTGGGTCTACTGGAGAGCCAGTGGGGTCAACTGGAGGCCTAAGAGGGTCAATGGGGTCAACTGGAGGCCCAATGGGGTCAACTGGAGACCCAACAAGGTCAATGGGGTCAACTGGAGACCCAATGGGGTCAACTGGAGACCTAATGGGGTCAACTGGAGACCTAATGGGGTCAACTGGAGACCTAATGGGGTCAATGGGGTCAACTGGAGACCCAATGAGGTCAACTGGAGACCTGAGAGGGTCAATGGGGTCAACCTGAGACCCAATGGGGTCAACTGGAGGTCTAAGAGGGTCAATGGGGTCAACTGGAGACCCAATGGGGTCAACTGGAGACCTAAAGGGGTCAACTGGAGACCCAATGGGGTCAACTGGAGACCTAATGGGGTCAACTGGAGGTCTAAGAGGGTCAATGGGGTCAACTGGAGACCTAATGGGGTCAACCTAATGTGGTGGTTGAAGAACTGCTGGAGCTTCTCGTTGGTGAAGTTGATGCAGAGCTGCTCGAAGCTGTTGAACTGGGGTGGGGTGGGGGAGAAGAAACGGACAATGAGGGTCAACTGGGTCTACTGGAGAGCCAGTGGGGTCAACTGGAGACCTAAGAGGGTCAATGGGGTCAACTGGAGACCCAATGAGGTCAACTGGAGACCTAAAAGTGTCAATGGGGTCAACTGGAGACCCAAGGGGGTCAACTGGAGACCTAAGAAGGTCAATGGGGTCAACTGGAGACCCAATGGGGTCAACTGGAGGTCTAAGAAGGTCAATGGGGTCAACTGGAGACCCAATGGGGTCAACTGGAGACCCAACAGGGTCAATGGGGTCAACTGGAGACCCAATGGGGTCAACTGGAGACCCAACAGGGTCAATGGGGTCAACTGGAGACCCAATGGGGTCAACTGGAGACCCAATGGGGTCAAAAAGGTCTACTGGAGACCAAAAGGGGTCAACTGGAGACCTAATGAGGTCAACTGGAGACCCAACGGGGTCAACTGGGTCAACTGGAGACCCAATGGGGTCAACTGGAGACCTAATGGGGTCAACTGGAGGTCTAAGAGGGTCAATGGGGTCAACTGGAGACCCAATGGGGTCAACTGGAGACCTAAAGGGGTCAACTGGAGACTTAATGGGGTCAATGGGGTCAACTGGAGACCCAATGGGGTCAACTGGAGGCCCAATGGGGTCAACTGGAGACCTAAGAGGGTCAATGGGGTCAACTGAAGGCCTAATGGGGTCAACTGGAGACCTAAAAGTGTCAATGGGGTCAACTGGAGACCCAATGAGGTCAACTGGAGACCCAACGAGGTCAATGGGGTCAACTGGAGGCCCAATGAGGTCAACTGGAGACCCAATGGGGTCAACTGGGTCAACTGGAGACCCGACGAGGTCAACTGGAGACCCAACGAGGTCAACTGGGTCTACTGGAGACCCAACGGGGTCAACTGGAGACCTAAGAGGGTCAATGGGGTCAACTGGAGACCCAATGGGGTCAACTGGAGACCCAACAAGGTCAATGGGGTCAACTGGAGACCCAACAGGGTCAACTGGAGACCTAATGGGGTCAACTGGAGGTCTAAGAGGGTCAATGGGGTCAACTGGAGACCTAATGGGGTCAACTGGAGACCCAATGAGGTCAACTGGAGACCCAACGAGGTCAACTGGAGACCTAAGAGGGTCAATGGGGTCAACTGGAGACCCAAAGGGGTCAACTGGAGACCCAACGAGGTCAACTGGAGACCCAAGGAGCTCAAAACCCCCACCCACCTCCACCCACCCCACCCACCCCCTAACGGGACCAACCACGGGTCCACCCCACCCCACCGAGGTGGACACCCCCCACGACCACCCCACCCCCCACCTCCTCCCACCCAACCCCAAAGCCCCTCACATCGAAGATCTCGAAGCCGGCGATGTCCAGGACGCCGATGAAGTACTGGCGGGGCTGCTTGGTCTCCAAGGAGTTGTTGATCCTGGTGACCATCCAGTTGAACATCTTCTCGTAGACCGCCTTGGCCAAGGCCCCGATGGAGTAGACCACCTGCTGGACGTTCTGGCCCTTGGTCACGTACTCGTTGCCCACCTTCACCCGCGGGTGGCACAGGCCCTTCAGGAGGTCGGCCGAGTTGAGGCCCAGCAGGTAGGCCGACTTGTCGGCGTCTTGAAGGCCAGAAGAAGGTGGACGTGGGGTCAGGACACACTTATGGAGGTCCAGACTCCACCCCACGTCCCACCTCCCAGGTCCCACCTTCGGTGCCGTCGGGCTCGGCCTGTTCCTCGCGCTGCTTCTGCTTGAACTTCATGTTGCCCAGGTGCATGATGGCGCCCGTCAGCTTGTAGACCCCGGCCTTCTCCTCTGCCGTGAAGCCCAGCACGTCGAAGGCGCTCTGCGGGGTGGGGAGGGGTTTGGAGAAGACCCCGGAGTCCACCCCACCAGCTGGGGACCCATCTCCAGGCCCATCGGGCCACCCATGGATTCATCCATCCGTGGTTTCATGGGTTGAAGGACCCAAGAACCATCTAAGAACCATCTCTGGGCTCATCCATCCATGGTTTCAAGGGTTGAAGGACCTAACCGACCATCTAAGAACCCAACCAACCATCTAAGGACCCATCTCTGGACTTCTCCATCCATGGTTTCAAGGGTTGAAGGACCCAACCAACCATCTAAGGACCCATCTGACCACCCAAGGACTCATCCATCCATGGTCTCATGGGTTGAAGGACCCAAGAACCATCTAAGGATCCATCTCTGGTCTCATCCATCCATGGTTTCATGGGTTGAAGGACCCGACCAACCATCTAAGGACCCAACCGACCATCTAAGGATCCATCTCTGGACTCATCCATCCATGGTCTTGGTGGTTGAAGGACCCAACCAACCATCTAAGGACCCAACCGACCATCTAAGGACCCAGTTCTCCACCCAAGGACTCATCCATCCATGGTCTCATGGGTTGAAGGACCCAAGAACCATCTAAGAACCCAACCAACCATCTAAGGATCCATCTCTGGTCTCCTCCATCCATGGTCTCATGGGTTGAAGGACCCAACCAACCATCTAAGGACCCAACCGACCATCTAAGGACACATCTGACCACTCAAGGACTCATCCATCCATGATCTTGGTGGTTGAAGGACCCAGGAACCATCTAAGGACCCATCTCTGGACTTCCCCATCCATGGTTTCATGGGTTGAAGGACCCGACCAACCATCTAAGGACCCAACCAACCATCTAAGGACCCATCTGACCACCCATGGACTCATCCATCCATGGTCTCATGGGTTGAAGGACCCAAGAACCATCTAAGGACCCAACCAACCATCTAAGGATCCATCTCTGGTCTCATCCATCCATGGTCTTGGTGGTTGAAGGACCCAACCAACCATCTAAGAACCCAACCAACCATCTAAGGATCCATCTCTGGATTTCTCCATCCATGGTCTTGGTGGTTGAAGGACCCAACCAACCATCTAAGGACCCAACCAACCATCTAAGGACCCATCTGACCACCCATGGACTCATCCATCCATGGTCTCATGGGTTGAAGGACCCAGGAACCATCTAAGGACCCATCTCTGGACTTCTCCATCCATGGTTTCATGGGTTGAAGGACCCAAGAACCATCTAAGGACCCCACCACCCACCCGAGGACCTCACCACCCACCCGAGGACCTCTCCGGCCACCCCCCCACCACCACCGCTTACGTCGGTGGCCAGGAGCTCCTCGGCGTCATCGATGGAGGCCACGGTCACCTCCCCTTGGGACACGTAGCTGTAGTCGTAGGGGTTGGTGGTGATGAGGAGCATCTCTGGAGACCCAAAATGGCCCAAATTGTCCTCATTCTCCTCGGGGAGGACCAAAGATGGAGAAAGGCGGGGTGGGAGGAGAAGACCCGAGGCCACCAGGCTCACCCAGAAGCTCGGGCTTCTTGTTGGAGAGGATCTGGTAGAAGATGTGGTAGTTCCTCTCGGCCTTCAGCTGGAAGATGACCCGGGACTTCTCCAGGAGGTCTGGAAGGGGGACGGGGGAGAAGGTTTTGGGGCCAGTCGGGGCGATTTTGGGGACGGGGGTTGGATGAGGAGATGGTTGGGTGGATGAAGGTCATGGAAGCCACCAGAGATGTGGAGGAGGAGGAGGTGAGGAGGAGGAGGAGGTGGTGGATGGAGGGATGAAGGCCACGGAACCCACCAGAGATGTGGAGGAGGAGGAGGTGGTGAGGAAGAGGAGGTTGGAGGAGGAGGAGGAGGTGGTGGATGGAGGGATGAAGGTCATGGAACCCACCTGAGATGTTTTGGAGGAGGTGAGGAGGAGGAGGAGGAGGTGGATGGAGGGATGAAGGCCATGGAAGCCACCAGAGATGTGGAGGAGGAGAAGGTGGTGAGGAGGAGGAGGAGGAGATGGATGAAGGTCATGGAAGCCACCAGAGATGTGGTGGTGGAGGAGGAGGTGAGGAGGAGGAGGAGGAGATGATGGAGGGATGAAGGTCATGGAAGACACCAGAGATGTGGAGGAGGAGGTGGTGAGGAGGAGGAGGAGATGATGGATGGATGAAGGTCATGGAAGCCACCAGAGATGTGGAGGAGGAGGAGGTGGTGAGGAGGAGGAGGAGATGGATGGAGGGATGAAGGTCACGGAAGCCACCAGAGATGCGGAGGAGGAGGAGGTGGTGAGGAAGAGGAGGTGGTGAGGAGGAGGAGGTGGATGGAGGGATGAAGGTCACGGAAGCCACCTGAGATGTGGTGGAGGAGGAGGTGGTGAGGAGGAGGAGATGATGGATGGATGAAGATCATGGAAGCCACCAGAGATGTGGAGGAGGAGGAGGTGGTGAGGAGGAGGAGGAGATGGATGAAGGGATGAAGGTCATGGAAGCCACCAGAGATGTGGTGGAGGAGGAGGTGGTGAGGAAGAGGAGGAGATGATGGAGGGATGAAGGCCATGGAAGCCACCAGAGATGTGGAGGAGGAGGAGGTAGTGAGGAGGAGGAGGTTGGAGGAGGAGGAGGAGGAGGTGGATGGAGGGATGAAGGTCATGGAAGCCACCAGAGATGCGGAGGAGGAGGTGAGGAGGAGGAGGAGATGGATGAAGGGATGAAGGTCATGGAAGCCACCAGAGATGTGGAGGAGGAGGTGAGGAGGAGGAGGAGGAGGAGGTGGTGGAGGGATGAAGGTCATGGAAGCCACCTGAGATGTAGTGGAGGAGGTGGTGGTGAGGAAGAGGAGGTTGGAGGAGGAGGAGGAGGAGGTGGATGGAGGGATGAAGGTCACGGAAGCCACCAGAGATGTGGAGGAGGAGGAGGTGGTGAGGAAGAGGAGGTGGTGAGGAGGAGGAGGAGGTGGTGGATGGAGGGATGAAGGTCATGGAAGCCACCAGAGATGTGGAGGAGGAGGTGAGGAGGAAGAGGAGGAGGTGGTGGATGGAGGGATGAAGGTCATGGAAGCCACCTGAGATGCGGTGGAGGAGGAGGTGGTGAGGAGGAGGAGCTGGATGGAGGGATGAAGGTCATGGAAGCCACCAGAGATGCGGAGGAGGAGGAGGTGGTGAGGAAGAGGAGGTTGGAGGAGGAGGAGGAGGAGGTGGATGGAGGGATGAAGGCCACGGAAGCCACCTGAGATGCCACCACCCCCCCCCCAGGCCCCACTCACAGGTCTCGATGTCGGCCGACGCCAACTTCCCGGTGGCCCCGAAGTGGATCCGGATGAACTTCCCCTAGGAGAGCACCCCCTGCCCCATAGATCCTGCCCCATAGATCCCGCCCCATAGATCCTGACCCATAGATGCCAGAGATCCCAGCCCCATAGATCCCAGCCCCATAGATCCTGCCCCATAGATCCTGACCCATAGATCCTGCCCCATAGATCCTACCCCATAGATCCTGACCCATAGATCCCGACCCATAGATCCCCAGAGATCCAGCCCCATAGATCCCAGCCCCATAGATCCCGCCCCATAGATCCTGACCCATAGATCCCGCCCCATAGATCCTGCCCCATAGATCCCGCCCCATAGATCCCGCCCCATAGATCCTGACCCATAGATCCTGACCCATAGATCCTGACCCATAGATCCCAGCCCCATAGATCCTGCCCCATAGATCCTGCCCCATAGATCCTGCCCCATAGATCCCGCCCCATTGATCCTGACCCATAGATACTGCCCCATAGATCCTGACCCATAGATCCCCAGAGATCCAGCCCCATAGATCCCAGACCCATAGATCCTGCCCCATAGATCCTGACCCATACATCCTGCCCCATAGATCCTGACCCATAGATCCCGCCCCATAGATCCCGCCCCATAGATCCTGACCTATAGATCCTGACCCATAGATCCCGCCCCATAGATCCCGCCCCATAGATGCCAGAGATCCCAGCCCCATAGATCCCAGCCCCATAGATCCCAGCCCCATAGATCCTGACCCATAGATCCCGCCCCATAGATCCCGACCCATAGATCCCTCCCCATAGATCCTGCCCCATAGATCCCAGCCCCATAGATCCTGACCCATAGATCCCGCCCCATAGATCCTGACCCATAGATCCCGACCCATAGATCCCAGCCCCATAGATCCTGACCCATAGATCCTGACCCATTGATACCCAAAGATCCCAGCCCCATAGATCCCAGCCCCATAGATCCCGCCCGATAGATCCTGACCCATAGATCCTGCCCCATAGATCCTGACCCATAGATCCCCAAAGATCCCAGCCTCATAGATCCTGCCCCATAGATCCTGCCCCATAGATCCTGCCCCATAGATCCTGACCCATAGATCCCCAAAGATCCCAGCCCCATAGATCCTGACCCATAGATCCCAGACCCATAGATCCCAAAAGATCCCAGCCCCATCGATCCCAGCCCCATAGATGCTGACCCATAGATCCCAGACCCATAGATCCTGACCCATAGATCCCGCCCCATAGATCCTGACCCATAGATCCTGACACATAGATCCCCAGAGATCCAGCCCCATAGATCCCGCCCCATAGATCCCAGCCCCATAGATCCTGACCCATAGATCCAGACCCAAAGATCCTGCCCCATAGATCCTGCCCCATAGATCCTGCCCCATAGATTCTGACCCATAGATCCTGCCCCATAGATCCCGCCCCATAGATCCCGCCCCATAGAGCCTGCCCCATAGATCCTGACCCATAGATCCTGCCCCATAGATCCTGCCCCATAGATCCCGCCCCATAGAGCCTGACCCATGGATCCTGACCCATAGATCCCAGCCCCATAGATCCCAGCCCCATAGATCCCATCCCCATAGATCCCGCCCCATAGATCCTGACCCATAGATCCCCAAAGATCCCAGCCTCAAAGATCACAGCCTCATAGATCCCGCCCCACAGATCCTGCCCCATAGATCCTGACCCATAGATCCCACCCCATAGATCCCCGCCCCATAGATCCTTCCCCATAGATGCCAGAGATCCCAGCCCCATAGATCCCATCCCCATAAATCCCAGCCTCAAAGATCCCAGCCTCAAAGATCCAGCCCCATAGATCCCAGCCCCATAGATCCCGCCCATATCGCCCCA